CCCACATGCCGCGGAGCGGCTGGGCCCGTGAGCCATGGCCGCTGAGCCTGCGCGTCCGGAGCCTGTGCTCCGCAACGGGAGAGGCCACGACAGTGAGAGGCCCGCGTACCGCAAAAAAATAAAAAAATAAAAAAATAAAGCGAATTGTGAAACAAGGGAAACCAGGATTCTGACAAAGAGACACTAAAGCCACACATTAAAAATAAAATGTTGAGGCACCTGCGGTAACCATTAGGCCTGCAGGGGTTGCGAGCTTCACGGCTGAATTATTCATGGTTACCGAAGTTGTTCTAAACACTGCCACTGAAAAAGGAGGCTGTTTTTCCTTGGGTTTTGGTTTTGGTTTGAAATCCCCATGGCCATACTGAACAAAAGAGACCAAGAAGAAAAATGCAAAAATCTTTGTGAGGGTTTTTCTCTGCCATCTCACTCCTTGTAGCCCCTGCCAGAGTGAAGGGACCAGGGCAAAACATAGCAACAAAAGGAGAGATGACATCTCATGTCTCAGTGACTTGGAAAACACCCGATTGGGATTAAAATGTGATTTCTTAGAGTGACTATGAACCGAAAGAGGAAACCACGTTTAATTCTCTCAACTGGAGTGGAGGAACCAATCAGAATGTTTACAGATGCCTTTTCATGTGATTCATGCCACTAAATGTATCACATAACCATACGGGTTTGCCGCCACCCAGGTTTGGCCAGGAAGGATAGATTTTTGCAGTATTAAAATTCCATGGCTTCAGAATGGTGGTTGTAAACCAAGGAGGTCTCAGAGTTATTGCAGAGTCCAGGAGTCCGTAGGTCCCCGATGATTTGTATGGACAAAACCCACGAAAAAAATCTTGCATACTTTAAAAATTGTACAGAGAGGCAGTTTGTGATGAACTGAATTAATTTCAGAATTACTGAATGCTGCATTTTCTGAATAGATAGATAGATTCTAAGTGTAGCTATCATCTTGTCAAATCCACATCTTGTCAGTTGCTTGAAAATTTTGACTTACAAAAAGTAGCTCTGAAACTAGTAGATTTTGATCAAGGTTTGACAACCGGTAGCACGATCCATCTTTTGGCAAGACTTTGCTCTATGCCACCTGTTCTACCCCGATAAGAATACAGAGAGGCTCAGATATTCACACAAGCAGGATCTCTTCTTCGGAGTCTAGCTGCGAATATTTTGAATACCTTAGCAGTGTAGCCCTCTGGTGACTTTCAAGATAACAAAGAAGACAAGCGAGGACAGAGCATCCTCAGGGGTGGGAGTTAGGGTGTGTTGCAATGAGTGACACCAGAAAAGAGCACAGGATGGTCATTAAGAGGACCAAATTCAAAGCCAGCATCCCAGTGACACTGGATGAATTAAGACACATTGAAGAGCAAGACAACTTCTGAACCTGACGTGTCAAAAGGGATCTAATTCTTCTGGCTGTTGATCATTCAAACCTGGTCTCACTGCTTTACACACACTTAACCTTGGCTTTAACTTTGAATGTTCTGCACTTTTCAAAGTCATCTTTGACCTGAAAGTGCCCAAGGGTATCTCTGCTCTGCAAGAGTTAGAGGGCTCAACTCAAGGTTATTACCAAATGAGAGAGATAAAAGAGCAGAAGTTGACCTTTTCCACTGAAATGTCAGGATTCAAGCCTGGGTACCTTAAATATGAGGACGCTTCTTTTGCTTTTGTGTCCGATGCTTACTTGATAAACATCGTGCATGTTAAAGAAAATGTTCATGCTAACCCCACCACTGCGCAGTGATGATGCAGAGCTTGCCTTTTCACATGGGGAAGGAGATCTAGTTGGCTCAGAGCTAGGCATTAAAGTTGAGCCTCTTCTTATTCCTTCTGTAACATCTGCATCCATCCAAAAAGCTTTTAGAAGGGGAATCTCTAGGCCGCCAACCTCTACTCTAAGTCATGTGTTAAGGACATAGTTTTGTTCATTGAATCCACAGACATTTCCCACCAATGCTGGGCTGTCAGAGACAAAGAGACTGACTGCATTTGCAAAAATGAATACTATCCAAGTCCTGTCGTAGCTTTGTCCTTTGATGGAACACTGAGTCCAAAGAAATGGCAAACTCATCCCTTCCCAAGGAGGATGGTGCAAATATCGTCCAGAAAAAGAATCAGGGTCACAATGTCCCATGAGCAGGCAACCCTATCATTTCTTTTCTCTGGGTTGGTGGTAGCTTCTGCCCTGCTCTGTGTTCCACCGTGGTGCCTGGGCAAGGCTGTCATTTGTGGCATATGACATCACAGTCAAAATCTCTGAATCCTCACCACAGAATCTGGGAGAACGCACATTGCAGGATGCATGTCAGACTCAGAAATCTGTAGTGGTTTTGTTTTGTTTCAGTGAAGCTTTATGCAGAACTAATTATTCTCAACTTCCTCTGAAATCTAGATGCTCAGTGCCTGGGAGAGAGTAAGGTCTGCAGAAATATGTCATGAGTCACTCTTCCTAATAATTTGGCAATTGCAATAGCAAGAAAAACCAAGCTGGATCATCATGGTTATTTTAGTCATGACATGGGGTCCCGGGCCACTCGGTGGGGGATCATCAATGGGCTTGTTGCAACCATGTGTTATCTGGGAGCCCATTTTCCATTTGACATTCAAATTGCTAATTGGAAGAAGTACCATTGGTCCAAGTGGAAACCTGGTGAACATATGCAAAGAAATTTATACTAAAATCATAGAGATCCTGGCCCCGAGATACCCACAGACTAGGATCTAAAATGTCTTTTCTTCCCCAGCCATGTAAACACCTCACCTTCGTATTATGAATACCAAGAACTTACATGAGGAGGAAAGGGCTCTGGGGATCCCAGAGCGGGCACTGCAGAGGAGAAAGGCAGTACTTACGCCAAACATTTGTCGGAGGTCGGGATCCCGGAACCTGAAGGGGATGTTGGAGACGTGCAGCCTCTTGGGCTGGGACTTGTTTTCCGTATTTTCGGAAGGTTGTGTCTGGGGCTGACCATCCGTGGGCGCCGCATCATCTGTCTGCTAAAAGAACAAGAGGAAAGCAAAGAGGCTCTGAGTGGACCCGAATGTTCTTTCCAGTGTGCTTTTGCTTCCCCTAAATGGTAGGAAAATGCCAGAACGAAGGAATAAGGACAGGAAGAAACTGCTGAGTCATTCATTCATTCATCCAACAAATATTTATTGAACATCCACTGAGCGCCCATCACGGATCCAGGATTCAGCAGCAAGCAAAACAACAAAGATCGTTACTGTCATGGATCCTAATTCACACAGGGGAAGACAGACAATAAACTCATTAAGGAAATACAGAGCTGGCAGAAGGAGATAAGCACTATGGGGATAAAGCAAGGGGAGGGGCTCGCTGGTACTGGGGTGCAGCGAGTTCTAATAGATAATTAGAGAAAACCTCATCTAGAAAAGGAGAATACTCATTAAAGGTATCCCTTCATGGAGGCTGTTCAAAAATCTGAAAATACGCCTGCATAATTGTTGAGGCCATACAGATAAAAATATTAGTAAATCTCCTAAAACATTTGAAGAGGCTGTTTGGTGTTCTGAAGTCCAAGTAACCATCTGCCAGACTTAAATTTTATTTTTTACGGTTTTCATTTTTCATTTCTTGATTGTGCAGACCTGTGCTGTTCATTATGGTTGACCCCATGTGGTTCTTTAAAGTGAAATGGACTAAGATTAAGTAAAATGGGAAATCCAGTGCCTTCCTTGCACCAGCCACATTTAGCATGCTCAGTAGCCACACGTGGCTGGTGGCTTCCATGTCAGACAATGCAGATATAGAACATCTATATCTAGCAAGTTCTGTTGGCCTAAGTTGGTGTAGACAATGTCACATTATTAGCATAACTCATTACTCTGCCTCCCACTCCACCCCATCCCCCAAGTAAAAGCCTGGATAGTATGATATTACATTGACACCCCTGTACAGGCAGGAACCAGGAGAAAAGCCACTTTAACATCTGAGTTAATCATATAGGCCATTCCCATACTCTCAGTTCTAGAGTTTTAACATTTCAGAGATGCTTCGTTTCTAGATACTTTCTCTGCAATTAGCATGTACTGCCTCTAGGTGGCAGTAGATGCCACCTACATCAGATAACCGGCTTCGTAAAACAAGGATGGAAAACCCATGCAAGAAGCCCATCAAGTTTACCAGCAAGGGATTGTCCCCACCTACTTACAAGCAATTCAGAAGCATTTACCTGGGACAAAACTATCAATGCAGGCAGCTAGGTGTAAAATAATAAAGACAATCTTACCAACTGACATACGTATATATAAAGCCAAAATAACATGGGCATAATTAGTGACTTTCTCGTCAACCTTGTATTTACTGACAGATTTCGCTGGCAACTCCTTCCTAACACACCCTAAATTGTATCTGGAAGTCAAGACCTTCTGGTGGTTGCCATACTACTCTTCCAAGCTCCTTTGGTATTCAAAGACCTACCAGCTAACTTTCTTCAACTTTCAAGGGCCCCGTCATGAAGATAATGTACCCGGTCATTTTGCCAACGCTGTTGGATTGAATAAAGAGGATGGTGATCGTTTTCTAATCTGGAAAATGAGCAATAACAATGGTGCACACCTTATAAGGTTCTGTGACGACTGAACACGGTAACACATGATGCCGACTTGGCAGAGTTCTCGGCACACAATACAGTCAATAAATGGGAGGTAAGGCAATTTTTAGACTGGCGGTGATTTTTACAAAAGTGTCAAAGGACACGTGCAAAAAGCCTCTCAGGAAACAGGAAGGAAAGGTTCTCATACACTTATTAAACACATCTTTCCTGAGCAACTACTATCCCCTGGAAGAGAGAAAGAGGTAGAAAAAGACAATTGTAATACAGACTATTGAGAGCAGGGGTCAGAATGAATCACAGGGGGCTGAGTAAACTTAAATCAGGGACACACCACAGGCTTGCCGATTCTGGAGGTTACATTTTCACTGGGAGATGTTTAAGAGAAAAGGTAAAGGGAACCAGTACTGTGCCAGCAGAAGACAAAGCATGTGGCAGGATGCAGGGAGGTGAATCGTGTTCTGGATTCGGGGGACTACATGTGGACCTTTGGGTCGCTAGTTGGAGGGCGTGAGTATGAAGGAAGGGCGGGAGAATACACTGTAGAGGGAGGCAGGGGTTGGACCATGAAGAACCCTGGGTGCAGCCCAAGAGGATACATTTCATCCGAAAAACTAGGAGGAGACACTTAGGGATCATAGCAGGGGTGTGACATGGGCAGCGCGAGACACAAGCTTAGCCATGGGAGATGAATGATAAATGTCTCTTTCCTGGCTGGCTGACTCACCAACTGAATGGGTGAATGCATTACGAGTATATGAAGAAATGAATGAATGAAGGAGTGAACCATCAGCTTTGCCACCTTCAAGTGATAGTCGAAGAACAATATTATAACACTGAGACCCACAGCAGGGACTGCATTTTCTCTGCTGGTAATATGAAGTCTGGCGACATACCCATGAGATAGATGGAAATGACTTTGCATCATGAGCCTGTCACTTTCACAGGGGTCAGGGGTCTCAACTACCCCAACAAAAGACTCCTCTAAGTCTGCAGAAGCAGCAGCTCAGCCCCCATGCTTTCAAGCCCACTTTTCCCCTCCTGTTAGAAGTTGCTGTTCAAATGCAAATTAAAACCAGCTCCTTCTCCTCCCAAGAAGGAAACTTGGATTTGGATTTGTGTATGTCTGCTGGATATTTCAGCTTAGTAAACCTAATTAGGAATTACAGAGATTATGATTAAACATATTAAATGATTAATAGCATTATGCTGCTCATGTGAAAATGAAAATTAATCATCCTTAGTCAAACAGGACTTTGGAGAAATCTTTGCATTGTTTCCTTTGATAAAAACATACACCACTCAATTAATCATTGTGTAGCGTGTGCAAATACACAAATGCTCGTAAATGGTTGTGTCGGAATACCTGTGTGTTAAAAGTAATTTCAAAGATGACACGGAAGAAGAAAAACTCAACCAAAAATACTTCAGACATCATAGGGGAATGGAAAGGAAAGGGAAGAGGCGGAATGTCAGGATCCAGAGATTGAAAAGGAAAAATAGAAAAAACAAAACCTTTTAGATTGAGCGTGCCTGCTTCTGTGGTGTGATGTAACGCAAGATGGGGCTCTGATGAGGACCAAATGTAGTAGGAGGTGAACAAAAAAAGCTACGACAGAGCCTCAATCACGCTAGGAGTCAGAGCTACAGGAATGACCCTTACTGACCCACATCTTGAGTATTTCAGGCTGTGAGATTTCCTTTTTGTTGGGAACTTTCAGAGAAAACATATTCAGAACATATTCAGTGTTTTATATCCCTCTATTAGTTTCCTAAGAAATTACCAAAACCCTGGTGACTTAAAGCAACAGAAATTGATTCTCTCCCAGTTGTAAGGGCCAGAAATGTACAATAAAGGTGCCATTGGGGCCACGCTCCAGCTGGAGGCTTCCAGGGGAAATCCTTCCTTGCTCTTCCAGCTGCTGGTGCCTCTTGGCTCAGCGGAGCTGCACTGCTCCAATCTCTCGTCTCCGTTTGGTCTTCTTCCCCCTGCATGTCTGAGACTCATCTCCCTCTGCCTTTCTCTTCTTACAAGGACATTAGTCATTGGATTTAGAGCTCACCCTAAATTGAGTATGATCTGGTCTTGGAATCCTTAAATTAATTGGATCTGCAAAGACCTTTTTTTTCCAAATAAGGTCACATTCCCAGGTTTACGAAGATCAGAACATAGACACATTTTTTGAAGGCCATCATTCAACTCACCAAGACCCCTGCTAAGCAAACATACCGGAAATGCATGGAGAATGAGTAATTGTTGGTTATCAAGGGTTATCAAGGTGTGGTTGTACTTTTTACCAGTTCTGGTGGCATGGGGCTCTCAAAAGGGTTGGCCTCAACCCAGGTTCAGAAGAAGGGAGAATGTCCCTACTAGAGGTGCCCCCAGGCTCTCATCCATCACACTGGCCAACTCTGATGAGTTCCCTAAAATGAGAAGAGACTTGAGTCTTCCCTTCAAACGCAGGGCTCCAAGACCCCCTTTCTGCACCTGCTTCTGGATGCACTGACACGCTTCAGCTGGGCTGAGAAGCGTTCCTTCAGCCTCCAGAAAGGCCACCAGCACTTGCAAGATGAAGACCTGCCTGCAGGTTCCCTGCACAGATGGATAAGCATCCCTGAGAACTCCGCTGAAGCTTATGGCAAAAGCACAGCGCACGGTGTCTAAAGACAAAAATAATGTGAGAAAGCTACACAACTTACTAAAAGAATGAAACATCTAGAATGTGTCTTTCTGAAAGGCAGTGTCTACCTGGTTTGCAATTACATTCCCCAAGGCTTGTGCATGTCAAGGCTTAGTGGGAATTAATCGTTGAAGGAAGGACTCTTGATTTATCCATGTCTGATGTTTTTCTTTTGAAAGTCATTTTGCCTCTAAAGTGGGAACCAACTGAATTAGAAATGTGCCTCGTAAACCCCATTTGGAAGATCAGAAGGTGGAACATAAAAACGAAGCAAAATTCATACTGGTGCACTCGCTCAGGGATTGAAGGAAATTGAGACAAGTAAGTATGTGAGAGCCGTGAGCAGAATGGCCAGGGCACCATCCGTCTCAGAACCCTCCCATCCAGACCCTCACCCTGGTCTAGGAGATACAGCCCTAACCCCCTTGCTTCCTACCGCTCCCCTGTCTTGTTCACGGGCCTCTTTGCTCTCCCTTCAACATACTCAACACACGCCTCCTTAGTCTTTGCACCTGTTTGTTAGTCCCTTTGCCTGGGTATTTCTCTCCCCAGACGCCCGTGTAGCTTGCCCCCTCTTGCCAGTCAGGTCTCTGCCCAGATATCACCGATCGGAGAAGTCTTCCCTGGCCCCATCATCTAAAACAGCCACAACACAGAAAACTAAAAATAGAATTACCATATGATCCAACAGTCCCACTCCTGGGCATAAACCCAGACAAAACTCTAATTCAAAAAGATACAT